ATTCTTCTTTCTTTTTCTTAATACTAAGAATGACTTCAATGAGTTTCTCTTGGTGACTACCTGTTAAGCAGCACCAGCTGCTATTTCCACCTCCCTGAGAACATTCTGTATCAAGGCAGTTTCGGTCTCCACCCCGGACTAGAAACCAGACTAGAATGGATTCAAATAATGAGCTTATCTACACTCATTTATGAATGATTAGGAACTGAGTGTTTATGATTTATAGGTGGTATTGTACATTATTTTTTTGGGGTATAAAATTTTATTTTAAAGAGAATCTGAGCTTGCAAATTCATAGCATAAATGTTGCCCAAACACCTGTGTTTTTAGGGAGCTTGTGTTCACAATGACTATTTTCTATCTCCACTGCTGAGAGGCAGGGTGCCTCTGAATACCAGTGGCTGGGAACTGCAGGTGGGAGCAGGCTACCATGCTCAGGTCCGGACTGTGGGCTTCCTATGAGCATCTGGTTGGCCTTTGTGAGAACAAGAAGCTGGACTAGATGGGCTCTTGACTGATCCAGCAGCTTTCTTCATATGCTTTAATGTCAAAATCAGTGGTGTATGACAGAGTATTGGTGAAAAGGTATGCAGGTATTTCACATTCTCACATTTTGTGAACTCAGTGGGATTAGATAATGTGCTAGAGTGATTGGGGGAGAGGCCTGAGAATAATCTAAAAGAGTACTTCAGCAGGCTTAAGTCTCAAGCTGCCTTGTTAATAAAAAAAAGTTCCTCAACCATGGATAAAATTGCTGAGGCGCAGCAAGGTGTATTGGAAAGCTTCTGCACTCTGCAGCAATGCAGTTATTAAAAAAGAAGTCACAGCTAGTACTGGGAAAGGCTAGGTGAATGAACGATAGTCATGGTTAATATTACTGAAGATGAATAGCAAAGTCATATCTTCCTCCCTGCCCCCCAGGACATACAATTTTTTGAAATGAACCCATCCAAAAAGAGATGAGGTGTGTCTAAACAAAATGATACCACCTGTGCAATCTGTATTACCTGCAGCATTTGTAAGCCATATGCATGGTGTCTTCTTACTGCCAAGTTGGACACTCTGAGAGCTTGTAACTATTCATTTTATATCTATGAAGGAAAGTGGCCTGTTGTGCCAACACCGAGCCAAGTTATTGCAATACCCTACAATCTGAATCCCCCCTTTTTTTAACAGAATGGATTATTGTAGTTCCCCCAAGGAATATGATATCTTTATTTCCTGCTAGTAAAACCCTGCAAGACCATGGCTTAAAAAGTTTCCACTAGGACACTGTAAAGAATTCTGTTCACCCAGTGTAGGTAAAGTAGCTATCAAGTGATATGATGGATTTGTAAAAATGATTGGCACAGAACAGTGGCAGCAATAAAATATTGCATTATAATCTGCATGAGAAAATAATTGCTGTGGGCTGAAGTCTTTGAAAGGAGGACGGATGTGCTCTCAAATGATGGAATGTGGTTGCAGCTGAATGCAGAATATAGGAAAGCTTTTTACCCAGTAAGATAATAATATGAGGTAGTCACTTTACCTTCTGTGGCAGAAGCAGAAGCTTATGTCATTTTGATTATTCTGAAGCTTTATCTCCCACCCTTCCAACAGGCTGCTGAAATAGGAAGGGAGGGGGCCAAACAAATCCCAAGTAGATCAGAGAAATGGAGCAATAATGCCCTTCTTGCCACTGTGATTGTTCCACCCTCCCTATGTTTCCTTCAGCACTATGACTCAACAATTGGATATTGTGCCTGTGCTGGGCACAATCCAGCCCATTGTGAAGCTTTGATATGTGCCTTTATGTATAGAGTTTTGTGTAGGTCTTTTGTCTGCCTGACTGTCTGACTGCTCTGTTTCACAGATGAAGAGTTTCATTATTTCATTATTTCATTTGAAATAATAATAATAATAATAGTACGAAATACAAGGGCCAGAGAGGCCAGTGACGTAAGACTAACAGGGTTAGCATCTAGTCTCCCCATAGTTAATACATGCAGATCAGAGTATTACATTCCTCTTACCCATATGGTGTAGTGGTTAAGAGTGGTAGTCTCGTAATCTGGTGAACCGGGTTCGCGTCTCCGCTCCTCCACTTGCAGCTGCTGGGTGACCTTGGGCTAGTCACACTTCTCTGAAGTCTCTCAGCCCCACTCACCTCACAAAGTGTTTGTTGTGGGGGAGGAAGGGAAAGGAGATTGTTAGCCGCTTTGAGACTCCTTAGGGTAGTGATAAAGCGGGATATCAAATCCAAACTCCTCCTCCTCCTCTTCTTCTTCTTCTTCTTCTTCTTCTTCTTCTTCTTCTTCTTCTTCTTCTTCTTCTTCTTCCATGACCACATCTCTTTATCAGAACCCTTATCACACCTTCATTTTGGCATGTTATGGAATAGGGGTGAAAGGATTGGCTTAGTACCAGTCCATTATTCTTCTGACATTCCAATATCCTTTGGGTTCCTCTTTGCTTAAATTCTGGTGGGAACTGCAGATTTTGGATTGTCAGTAACAGACTATAGGTATGTACAGTAATAAAAAATTAAAAATCCCAGGGAAGTAGTATTGCGAGCCTTGTTTTATTTTTCTTTAGCATTCTTGGTTACCTAACCTATTATTATTTCAACAGTTCCAGCACATGCTAAAATAGTTTTCTTTTATTATTATTAAAGGAAAGCTCCAGCCTTAATTGGTAGAGGTGCCTTCATAATATATATTTTATAAATGTGTGCTGTCTTTAACTGGCAAATAGTAGAGAGCTTATTCAGTATGTCTGCCAGAGCTAAGGTCAGCAGCACAGACAGAGTTGGACAAAGAACACCATTTTCCAGCTTTTTTGTTAGTCTTGGCTTGAAAAGACCACACATTTCCTTCCCCGCTGAACAGTTTAGCCTTTGTTCGGTACAATTAATATGCTAGGCTGAGAGCAAAAAATGTGTGAACCTTAAGAACACCGTATGATTGTCAGGTAATTAACAACTGGAGAAGCTATGCTTTAAGAACCATAGATAGGACTGGCTGTGGACACAGCTTTAGTTAATCTTAGTCCTTTGTATTTTTTCTTCATCTACCAAGTGTATTGTGGCTATGAGAAGCAACTGTGCTTTTTTCACATGTCAGCTGTCTGAATCCCAATACATCCAGTTAGCTTAGTGCAGACCATGTTGTCTTGACTGTAGAAAAATTAATTAACTAAACTGCTTTCAGGCTTCTCAATAAATTATGAAAACTATTTTTTATATTAAAAAAAACTTGCTCAAGAGACAATTGTAAGGCTTGTTAATTATTTCCTAGTATCTATTGTCTTGGCACTGAAATCAAATAAAAACTTTGGATTTTTGTTTTTAATCGTTGACTATATTGCCCACACTATACTTCAAACATTTAATTTAAAAGTGTGGCATCCTGCAATGTATAATCAAACCTCACTTCCATGTTTACTTGCAACATACAGCCTCCTTTATTAAGATAACAGTTCTTAATACTCATGCACGCTTTCAGCTATTGATCCACAACATTCTGACTTGGAAACACTTGGAATTAAGATTTCAGCAAACTTCTGTGGTGCTCAGTTGGCTTAAATTCATGAATGCAACATGTAAGTCCATCAGCTTGCTACAATTTCAGTGACTTGAAGAACATATATGTCATTAGAGGTTAAATTGGAAAAGTGCTTTCACTTGGTTTTCTGGAACATTTTAACAGGCTAGCCAAAGTATATGTGTAATGGTCACAATTTAGAAAACTGTTTAACTAGCTGTGATGCTGATGCTTTTTTCTAATGGCCCAGTATCTGTATTGTGCAAAACAGATATCCTGATAAGTTAAGTTTCTGCAGGAGCCCTGCAAAGCACAGTGATCAATTGGGTATAAAAGGAGTGAGGTTATCTTTCAGGTATCCTGGTTCCAAGCTGTACACCTTGAACTTAGCTTGGTCGCTAATGGGCTACCAGTGCATGTTTTTTCAGCAGCTGAGTAACATGGTGGCAATACCCTGGTGGTCTTCAACTAGTGGGTCAAGTCAGGAGTGAGTACCAAGTTGCAGTCTGATCTAAGGTGGGTCACACCAGCAGGTAGACTACTAACCTAGACCATATTGAATGGCAAAAAGACTTCTGAAATGTGAAAGCTTAAACTGCTGTTTAAGGAAATATATCCCATGGAAAACATTTGATCACATCTAGGAGCTAAGAAAGTAGCCCATCTAGGAGAAGGAAAACTCTGATCCTAAACCTCCACTGTATTACAAGATATGTTCAGAAGAAAAGACTGAGGAGTAAACCCTACACAAATCCAGAGTGGAGGGTCTAAGACAGTTGGATTGCGCTTTGTATGCCTCCTTCCAGCAACTCCTGCAGCCAAGCTGATGCCAAATGTATTGCTCTGCTTTCCATTGGAGCACATTAGCAAGGCCAGGGGGGAGGTCCTGTTGTCTGGGCAGCCCAGGACCTCCATACACACTGTCCAGGCTTGAACCCCAGGGTGGTCATTTTGGCATTGCTAACACAGTGGTTTGACTTCAGCCCCAGAGGCACACTCCATTGTCTCTCGAAACAGACAAGATTCCAACAACATTTCCAGGCTTCTAATGTTTCATTTTAATGTAGTCTTGTGGCATAGACTGAAAGAATGGTATTGTTTTCCTGTTGTTGTTTCCCACAACAAACTACAGTAACTCAGAAAGCTTGGTATAAGAGACTGGGACTGCCATTCTCTACCACCTACCTTGGAGCAAGCCCAAGTTAATCAGATAAATAAGATGAGCGACATGGCAAGTTGCACAAGAATGGAAACCAATCAGTGCCTAGTTTCTGTTCCTTTGGCCAGGTCACCAAACTAAGTTTAGTTCATGCATTTTTAATGTCTGAGGGCCATTACCAGGCAGGACACTGCAGAGGAGGGTTCCAACCATATGGTGCTTAGCTTGATGCCATGCATTCATCTCACACATTTCATTACTCCACAGGTGCATCTCAGGAAGCTGGTAATACTTGAAATATGTACATAAGACAAACAGTGTGTTACATTTATGTATCAGGATTTTTTTTTTATTTGGATTACTTTTTCAACATACAACCTAATGTTAGCTACAAAAGTTGTGAAATGGTAATACTACGAACTGAAAGAGGGGTGGGGAAACCACCCCACCAAGTTTTGATTTCTTCTTTTTCTTTTAAAAAAGTACATTTACAGCTTTCCCCATGACTAAGATAAACCACATTTTGATGGATCGTTTAATAAAACATAGCATACATTTAAAAAAAAAATAAATTATAAAAACATTAAAGAAACTAATACCATCAACAGCATGAAGAACCCTTCATTGTTCATTGTCAAGAGACAGAAATGAAATCTCTAGGCACAGTTTTAGGCATTATAGAGGACACAGAGGCAATAGGTTAGTGTGCACTGTTCTGTACAAAAATACAGTCTGAATAAATTACATTGCTAGCCATAAGATTAAACTTCACTTTATCAGTCAGTTCATTGCATGTTTAATAATATACAGTTTACATGCTAATCCATATATATATATATCTATATATCTCTCACTTATATTTCAAACACATAGTTCTCTCTATATTTATGTCTTTAAAATTTACATGTTGAGCTTACAAAAGCTGAACGTAGTTGTGCAGGAAATCCAAGAGAGGTCCTAGATAGTTGTCAGCACCGGACAGAATACTTTAAGCTTTAAAAATACAAATATCTAGCCCTGGTTGCAGCTTTGCTATATATAGTTTTATGTGTGTGCACGCGCATCTGCAAGTTAAAACAATATATGTGTAGTGTGAGAATTCATCCCGTTAGTGACATAAAGCCAAATACAACTGAGTGCTAACAGTTCAATACAATAATGATAATCATACATTAAAATGTGATCTTTTACACATACAATCAAACACTAAAGTGTCTAATCCTGTAGATAGAAAAGGGTATTTCTGATGTGCATTATAATTCAGTACAGAAATCCTATGCAAGGTAGAACTGTCAATGTTTCAAAGAAGGTGTAAATGAAGCATTAAAATCTGCACTGAGGTAACAGGGACAACAGGGTGGGGCAAGATGTAATCTTTTTCATTCCTTAAATTTTTTCCCCTGGATTTCTTATGGTAAAGACTCAAAAACATTGTACTCATGCTATAGTTAATTGTTCTGATTGCTATGTTACAAAAACACACTAAAATTACCGAGCTGTATCCAATTAAGCCATACTCAGAGTAGACCCACAGAATTTAATACAGCTAAAATAGTTTTGTCCATTAATTTTAAGGGGTCTTCTCTAACTTTGAATGCAATGCTATAGTACTAAAAGAATACTAATAAGAATCCTGGGTTCGCATCTCATAGTGATTCATAAGGTTAACCAATCAACCTTGTCAGTTTGTCACTGTCATTTCCATTTTCTTTCAATGGAAGCTGGAGAATCTAGTCAAGAAGACCAAACTATTTCCCCACCGATCTAAACCATGGGCACAATAAGAAACCTGTATATAATGTGCGGTAAATCAAATCACACAAACAGTAGGACTCTGTGGCACAAGTTGTCAAAGGAAGTTAAACCTATGGAACAGAGTCAGGCCTTCACTTCAGCTACAAGTTACCACTGTTTACAGCTTGAAATAAAATGAAAGCCCCAAACTGGCAACTGCTTATAAAAAGATGAAGTTGCCTTTTGTACTATCTTTTCTGGCAGCATCTATCCAAACTCTTAGCCATAAATCTTTCTCAGCACTTCTAATGTTGTTGGACCACAACCCCAATGACCCCTGGCTGAAGCTGATCACATCTGAAGTCCCACAACATCCAGAAGGCCACAGGTTTCCCATCCCTGCTGTACATGAACGAACTTATGCCTTTCATCATACAAAGCATTGTCACTGGGCTCTAGTGCATATGGGAGTATGCACAGAAATAGAGTATCTTATATTATGGAATGAAAAAAATGGCACAGTCATTGAAAATGGTAGCCACTACTGGGCTTACCAATGCCATAAGCTCCAAATTTTATATTATCGCATATATATTTACAGCTCTGCAGAGCCAAACAATAGCCTAACATCCCAGTCCAGAATATAATAATAATATGCCACCATACTTGCTAAACCCTATTCAAAATCCTTTGGCTTATTCAAGCTTCAGTCACCTGTGAATGTACATTATAGTCTCAGTTGCCAAAATCCCTTTATCCTTTGCTACTGGTGCTGCACATTCAGTGATTCTCCTTTTCATTCTAAACACCCTCTATCTTTCTTGGATGAATTTATAGCTACATAATTTGTTTTGTTTTGTCTTATCGTACTCCATCAGCTACCTACCACCATAGTTAGCATCTGTTGCAGGATGAAAGGTAAGAGGGAGCTGACCACATTAATAAGTCCGTTCTGCCAGTGTATGTGTAGTGTAGCAGGGGTGGGGAAACCTGTGGCCATTCAGATGTTGCTGGACTCCCAACTCCAGCCAGCGTGGTCAATGGTCAGGAATGGGGAGAGCTGTAGTCCATCAACATCTGGAAGGCTGTGGTTTTTACAGCCCTGAAGTACAGGATCACCACAGATGCACTCTTGCTCCTGAATGTGCATGTTCTTACTGCTCCCTCTGCCTCATGCACATACCTATGTTTACACACAGAAGGAGTACAATTTATTTTTTATAAAACAATATTGCATTTTTAATAATGGCATGGGTAAACATATTTATCATGGTTTTATGATTTATAAAACATACCTTTAATCTCTCTCTGATTTGCTGTAATTAAAATTACTTCTGAGGTCTTAACATTAAAGAACTATAGTTCTATAGTTTTGAGGACTGTGCTCTTAAAGAAAATCCATGCTAGGATATATCTTAATTTCCATTTAACAAAAATAATTGTTTCTAAATATGTATCTTAGAATTGTATACACTGTATAAAAATATTTTCAGAATTGAAAATACTCAATAAGCTGATTGTAAATAAAAATAAATGTTATGTTGTGTAAATCAATTTAAATTTTCTACCCCAGATATTAATCTTGGGTCTTAAATACTTCATATATTTTCTGCAAAATTTAAGTAAGAAATAACTTAAACAAGCTGAGATAAATGCAAATAATTGTCAGCCAATCCATTACATTTTGAGGAGAAAATAGTGATACTGATACTATACTGTTAAATTATAATTTTCGTAACAGCTAGTCTCCTACAGAAAACATATGTTCACTGGATTACTTTTAAAAATAAAATATAAGTGAAACAGCAATTTGCCACATTAGTATATTTTTCTTCTTCTTCAGGAACTTTTAGTTGTGTCGTAGAAAGCATTATTTATTTTAATGATTTCATTTACCAATGAAACTCTGTAATAACTTCCCTCCATTGGGACCCACCTATCAGTATATGTTTTTGAGCCAATTGTTATCATTAGGAAATTAGATATTTTTCTTCTACTCCATCTTAATATCATATTAACTTCTATAGAAGTTTTCATTTTAAAACAATATTAAAGAAGATATCATTACATTGGCCTTTTTATATACATAACTGTATCATTACCATAGTGCCTCTGCCAAATAGACATCATGGCTGCATTGGGACATGATTAACCATGGTTTATCATGGTGTGAAAAAGCCAAAGTGAAGCCCTCTTCTCTGGTGTAGCTGTGATATCAGATGAACTGATATTTTGATTAACTGCACTTTAGTGTTATGTCTAACCTAAAATGTGGTTAATTATCACTTTGATTTTTTGAAATGAACCAGCTTCATAATCCACAGTTTGCAGGTGGCTTGTTTTGAACAAAACATTATTAGGATTAACTACCGGTACGTTTTGTTGGGTTTTAACAAGACAACAAACCTCAGTTAATAAAAAGCCATATCAAAGGATTTTAAACCACTTCATGGTTCTGAACCAGAAGAGGAGAGGGCATGGGGGTCTCCCACAAGTCTGAGGGTTGCCTATGCTCATTCCTGTTATAATAAACCATGGGTAGAATTCCATGTAGTGCTAAAGAGTTTGTTCCATCAGTGCAAACATTTCTGCTTTTCTGATAGGACAATCTCCCATCACGTGCTGTTCTGGGGGTTCTCCCAACTCTCCATAATAGATTTGGAGGAGGAGGGACTAGAGAATGGGGAAAGTCCTGTTGCATTAGCAAGAGTCCTTGCACTGGTTTCTGCTAACAGAACAGGTAGTTGAATCCAGCTTCATCATCTAAATGAAGCCAACGCCATGTTTTCTAACTTTGCAAGCACTTGGTTCACCCCATCCTAATCTGGCACATCAAGCTTTAAATCAAGCATTTTGAGAAGAAATTCATATGGGAAAGCATTCATTAAAATATTTTGAAGACTACTCAATATTCAGAAACAGTTCTTGAAAATCTAGATTCATTTCGAACCTTTACTGTTTCAGCCCGCTGTTAGGAATAGGTTGAGCTGACCTATGTTCTCTCTTGATAGTAATACCAATAAACGCCTTCTATAAAAATAGTTGTCCCTTATGGAAACCTTACTGCAGTGTTTGGAAATCAAAAGATGGTCAGGACTAGCACATCTCATGCATGTATTCTCTTCTTTTTATTCTCTCACGGGAGTCAACAGATTCAGTGTCCTTCTCTGCTTATACTTGGTTACAGCCGAGACACAAAGTCCAACCACATAATTAGAAGAATGCACTCCAAGTTTTGACTTCCTGATACCACAGCTGGCTGGAAAATGTGGATCGCCAAATGTACAAACTTGTGTTGTCAGGAAATAGCAGATTAATATGTACTTTCAACTATGTTCGCTTTTCTCAGCATCCAATCATTTAGAAGTTTGTTTCAGCAAAAGTCCCAATGCACCAATACAACATAGTGGTGTAACTCAGTGATCAACAGAGAATTTGAATCATGTATAATACAAAGGAGCGTCTACTTAGGCCAGCTACTCCCTTGCAGGCGACAGCAAATGCAGGTGCCATATTTTCATTCCAGCTTGTTTCTCATGACGACTGCTGCCATCTTCGTCCTCGAGTGGTACATCTTTGCTTACCAAAGGTAATGTATCAGTAGCTTATAGCATTTGCCAATGTACTGATGAACAGGTGTAATTTTTGCCATTCTTTTAAAGGGGTGTTAAAAAAGTTAATTGCAAGAGTTGTAGCCCAAAGTAAAGGCTGATAAATCAACAGGGCAGACTGCTGGACAATCTACAAAACTTCTAAAAACACAGAGTTAGAAAAAACAGGACAATCCTTGTGTTATTTCTTCTTCTGCTGCTGCTTTTTAAAGTAGCTCCCTTTAATAGTAGTCTTCATAGTTCTTAGGGTTTAGGCAATACAGTATGGCACCCCCAAATGAAAATATAGTTGCACCCCAAGCTAGTCCATAGCCCCAGTTGAACTCATGGTATATTCTCAAATTGACTGTTTCGATGAACTTGATTGGATACAGGACGAGACTGCACACCTGAAGAACCACTGGGGAAAAAAGAAAAGGGGGGAAAGGTCAAATATGAGGCTTCATCCATTTTCTTAGAATAAATAAAATGCTAAATCACTAATACTTTGGTGGAGTTTTTGGTGTACGCTAAGAGCATACTACATACAGGCAACTGACAACTTAACGCACATTTGGCTCATGTGCAACCATGTATATGTGTGTGCCAGGAAATAAATAAATACCAGTAATTCAATTCAAACCTGGAAATGGCTGGACAGAGTTAGAGAGTCCTCGTGGCTCATGAAGAGACCCTCCCTGGAGCCTGAAGAGGCTGTCAAAAGGGTGGATGAAGCCCTGAAGAGACCGGAGGCGCAGCAGGGGTTTTTTTAGGCTGCTCAGTCTCCCTGCCTAACAGCTGGTGTGTGCGGTAAAACAGCAGCAGCAGCAGTAGCTGCTGCTTTTCCACTCATCCTCCAGCCTTCAGCCAGGCGCAGAGCTTCAATTCTGGTTGGTCTGGATTGGAGCAATAGGGTGTTTAAAGGGGACGCAGGTTTCCAGAACGGAACTCCCACATTAAGTGGAGAGTCGCCTGCATTTAGAAATGCAATCTTGATTTCCTGCCTGAACTGTACCACTTTCAAAGTGCAATCTTGATATGAGAACAATCTTGGCATGAAACTTTCTTTAAAAAAACACACAACACTTCTGAGAAATAGAAAAGGTTAGAACCCTGTCAGTAGCATACTCCTGATTTATTTAGGGCAGCTGCATGGTTCTAGTACTTTGAATTGGCTTGGGAATAAATTGGCAGCCGGTGCAGTCAGACCAGGGTTGGTGTTATGTGCTCAAACCGCCTTTCCCTGGTGAGCAACCTGGTCACTGAATTCTGCACCAGCTGAAGTTTCTGATCCATTTTCACAGGCAGCACCACATATAATGCATTGCAGTAATCTAACCTAGAAGTTCCTGGGGGGTAGATAACAGAAGTTAGGCTATCCTTGTCCAGACAGGGGTTTAGCTGGGCCACCAGCAGATGGAAGGCACTCTGTGCCAATCTGTGCACTTCACTGGCTCCCAACCTGGACAAGGTGGGATTCTTTAGTCATTTGTTTGCTTTATTAAAAATGCTTATATCCTGTCTTTCCTCAACAAGCTCAAGGGGGCTAACGACGTAAGCTACAACTGTAACTTAGTTTTACAAACTGTTGTTAAACAGCAATAAACATTATAAAACAACAGGAGGAAGAAGGTGAAACAAATAGCCATAGAAATAGTATCCCGACAGCAATTAAAAAGTACTAGAAAAAGAAAAGAACCACTTATGGCTCATAAATCTTCCTTTAAAGTGTTATGTGTATAAGGAGAGAAAACATTCAGCTATGGTTTCCTTCATCTTCCAGGTGAACTGATATGATCCAGTAAGCGCTGTAGCTGCTGATGTTTCTAAACCTGAATTTAGCTTCCAATTTATGGGCATAATGCTATTGGAAATTCTCTGAAACAAGTCCTGTTGAAATGACAGAACTAGCACAAAAGCACAGTGGCAGTCATTTCATTTCACATAAAACAGCATTTGTTTCAATAAACCTTGTACAGCATTCCTGGTGGAATGTGCAGTCCATGTAAAATATATTTAATCTAAAACTTATTGAGTCCACGCTCTGGTAACCTTCAGGTTAGACTACTGTAACGTACTATATTTAGCCCACAGAGAATATGGCAATCTAAATATAATCCTATGTATATAGACACATATTTCTGGAACAGGGCAATGGCCTGATATTTCAGGGTTCTGAAGAATAAGCCATATCAATTATCTTTTTCCCTTTACTGCAAATCAGACTTTCTTTGCAATAACAGAAGAACACAGGTGACTAAGCTAATGGCTTCTATAAATAGATCATAAAAGAGTGGGAAAAATAAAGTAGGGGATGATGAAGATAGATAATTTAGGAAAGCTCATTTATAATTATATGACTCAATGTAATAAAGAATATCATTTATCAACTAATTACAACAAAATTCATTTGGAATTGCACATTAAAAATACATATAACCTCCAATTAATATCTTACATTCCTGACACAGCCATATTCATACCTTCCACACAGTGCAATAAAGCTTCCTAATAATTTGTAACATTCAAATATTTGTTTTGAACAGTAAGTACTCAATAAGAAATAGCCTTGATGTCACTGATTATTACCAAAGCAAAGTTGTGCAGTCAAAATTTTATCAGGTCTATGTAACTGTCTGAAAGACAAAAGTTAAACAAAGTCTGTGTACCTGCACAAGTAGTAATAAGATGCCATACGTAGAGCATTGGATCTGGATGTGGATGATAAATGTCAGCTGACATTACTATGGTTACAATTATGAATTAGATCCTATGGCAAAGGTACCAAGTGTGCATTAGATTATGCCAGGAAGCCCTCTCTAACCCTGTAATGCAGAGGGGGCAGGGGCAGAGGAAGGGGATGCAGTGGGTGCGGTCTGCCCCGGGTGTCACCACTGAGGGGGGTGACAAAATCCTGGGTGGCACTCTCCTGGGAGAGATGTGGTAGCTTGGGCGTGTGCAGGCTTCACGCTGCCCAAACGGTCCGCCCACTGCCCCCCCCCCGCTGTAGGGCAGCAGAGTGGGAGGAGGCAGGCAGTCTCCGGAGGCCCCGCGGTGCACCCCACCTCTATGGGTGGCTCGCCCCACCCCTGGGCATACTGCCCCAGGCGCCTGAGCGGCTTCCTCTGCCGCTGAGGGGTGAAGGATCTTTTTGGCTCCACAGGCCAGATCCTTATCAGGATTGGCCTCGCAGGCCAAATTCAATAGATGGGCAGGGCTGCCCACCTGTCAAAATCCCTTGTATGGCTTTGCAATCTCCGTAGCTCCCTTTTAACCCCTGACATTAGAGAGTTCAAAGTGAGAATGGGAAGACTTGTGCAGGCTTTAAGACAACCCCTGTGCTCCTGTATTAACATCTCAGGTCTTTTTTTTTGCAAAGAAGGAGCCACCCTCCTTCTCCTTTAAACATTGGAGCAAATCACTTCTCCCGCTCCTCTCAACATCTGTTCCACAGAATCCATGCCTGCTTTATCCTTTTTCTTCTTGGCTTGTAACAGATAACCATGAAAGGTTAGCAGCCTTGGTCTGGATTTGGACCCCTGTTGACTTGAAAGGAACAGTGGTATAGTCCCTGTCTTTGGATCCTGCAGCTCTTGCCAATTATAGGCAGGCATACAATACTTGATACTTGAGTGGGTGGTTGCTGAACAACTGCAGAGTTCTTGCAAATGCGGAATGGGTATTAAGTGGCACTTGTAGTAGTGCCAATTCTGCCGATCGAAACAGTCAAGATAACTGAGCTGAGAGTTTGTTGGACCCTGGGTGAGAACCTGGAGGCTGAGGGGTGTGTGTGTGTGTGAGAGAGAGAAGCAAAATGAATTGATATTGTGTATATATATTAGTAACTTTTTAATAATGCAACTTCTTTAAGTTGTCAGTTGCTGCTTTTTTGTATGCTCGCTCTCTCTCTCTCTCTCTCTCTCTCTCTATATATATATCATAATTGCTATAATACTTAATATATAATCAATCAATCAATAATCAAAACTTGGTTCAATTGGTATAGAATGCCTGACTATTGTTAGGTGCAGGCTGCATCTCATTTAACACATCTTCATGAATCACCTGTTAGTTTCTGGACTCAACTCAAGCCACTGGTTTAAATGGTCTGAGCACTGGCACTGAGCACTGAGCCAGCAAGTGCCTTCTCTCATGTCATTCCAAACAAATTTTGAGTGCCTTGCCCCACAATTCCCAAACAAACATCAAGATCTTCTAATGAGTCATCCCTGTTATATGATGCATACTTGGGCAACTAAAGCAGGATTCTGTAGTGGAGAAATGTCCTTTGTCAGTTGTCTTTCATTGTATCCTTTTTGGGAACATCTTCACTCCACCAAATTGTTAATTTATGTGTATGTTCTTTTGCTGTTTTGTTTGAGTGTGGTTTAAGTTTTATAGCATGTTTAAAGTGCTATTTTGATTGTATGGGAATCTTGTGTTCTCAAATGTGCTGTATTGCATGCTGGGGGCAGAGAGAAGTTGGCATTGCAACAACCGGAGCACAAACATTTCTTCTGGCCAAATAGAGCATTATTTTCCCCTGCCTTGTGCTGCCCTAGGGGTTCTCCCATCCCCCCAGAGCTGATGGCGGAGCAGGGAGTTTAGGGATGAGAGGGGGAAGCCCTGGTGCGTTAGTGGGACTCCTTGTGCTGGCTATTGCAAGCGCAGCTAATTGGTTGAATCTGGCCCATGTGTTTTATATTGAATTTAATTTGTTCATCTAGGCTGAGATCTAGTGGCTTCCATATTGTTGTGGAATTACACAGAAGACAACAACTAGAAGTGGCTAGAAAAAATAATAATAGAAAAAGGAAGCCTGGAAGACATTTTTTTTTTGAAAAAATAAGCAATTTAAAACTCATTTTTAGTAAACCATTCTGTTGCCAGCACTGCATCAATTATGCTAGATAAAACCAATATATTTCATGAATCTATTTTGCTAATTTCTTTGACGACTCATTGAGATATAGAATTCTGGTAGCCTAAACTCCTGTGCCCTCTGCTAAACTAAAGTGGTTTAACTAAAATAATGGAAACAGCAGGGGGCAGTAGGATACTTCCCCTTATCACTGTTTCAATTCTTGAAATACTAAGGACCTATCTTTCCACCTCCTTGTAAATGGATTTTTAAAATCCATCTAGCAGAGAAGATGGCCTTGTCATTCTCTCCATTATGGGATATCATACAGGCTTACTGTTTCAGTTCCAGCACAGATATGATTGACAGAATGGAGGGATGCTGTGCCTGGAAAACTTCAGGGAGAAAAAACTGTTACTGGCTAACCCAAAGGACACTGAAGTGCATACCAAGTGGTGATTTCAATGCAGATAGTATGCACTGCATTATCCTTTGGGCTGATCTGTTTATGTGGGTCTTTCTTAAAAGTATTTCTGAGCACAAATTCTTTCCTTTGAAGCTTTGCAAAATAAAATATAGGCTTTACAATGTGATGGCTGTTACAAAAAGTAAATCTGACACAATGAAATTGATTCTTCCTGTGAAGCATGGGGAAGATATAAACACCTTTCAGTTTAATCCTATTTATTTCATACAGATGGTTTTGAGAGCTAGTACTTAAGGGACTTTTACAATCAAATATTTGAAAAGAATAGCATTAAGCTGAAAGAAAGAAGGAAAGAAAGAAAGAAAGAAGGAAGGAAGGAAGGAAAGAAAGAAAGAAAGAAAGAAAGAAAGAAAGAAAGAAACCATCAACACCATCAAAAGTTGCTGCATATAGGCTGCAACTTTTTCATTAAACATAGTGGGATTTACTATCACTTAAACATAAATAATTTGCACTATTAATGGCTCTGTCCTTACAAAGGCCTGGAATGTGGACAGTGATGATTACCCTATATTAAATTTCAAAACTGCAACACTACTAGGTTAAATACCAATAGGCTTCTTGTAAAAGTAATGCACCTCTGTCATACAACAGCATATAGAGTTCATTTGCTCAGGTAGCTGGACTGTGGGTTGTTGAATAGTTGAAAGCTCCATACAGTCCTGTTCATGGATTCTTCATACTGTAGATTATTGTTATTAATATCACACCTTCCCCCCCGACCGGGACTCAAGGTGGCTTACAGATAAAATAGAAAAAGTAAAAACAGAAAAGATAGTAATTTAAAAAGCAGTTAAACACTAATAGAATTAAAACATTAAAAAAGATATATTTTAAAATACAGGTAATAATAATAAGGGAGGGAAAGGCTCAGGAAACCCAGCCAGATGGGCAGGGTACAATTATTATTATTATTATTATTATTATTATTATTATTATTATTATTCAGTAGAGACAGCCTACAATGAATTGCAGTGCAAACATGGGGAATGAGCAGTTGTCTCCATATTCATAAGTACAGTAAAAAAAGTGCAGCTAGGATTACAAATCTCCACATGTTCAACTTGGTTTGCGACAGATTTTCACCACATAGGTATGTACCTATGGAATGGAAGGTACATGGAAGAATGGAAGAATGGAATGGAAGAATTTGATAAGAATGAACTGACACTCTGATAATAACCCTTTAAATCACATCAATCTCATGACTATTTTCACATATCAGGGAATGAAAAAAATTGAAAAAGCCCAGTCTATGTAAAGAACCCCCGGATCACTTGATATTCTTGAATTTTCAAATGAGAAATAAGGGATTTAAAAAATAGCATGATAATGCTTCAGAATGCAAGACAGGTTGGTTAAGGCATCAATTACTGCACATGAATGCTTAGCTGTGAATGATTTGGCCATTGGTGCTAGAGATTCCTTGTCATGTAAGCAAAGGTTGATCATGCTGTATAATCAAGAACTTCTGAAATAACCTTGGGCAATGATCTGATTATTGGCTTACAGTGCACAATGAGTCACTCTTTTCTGCACAAACGTAAAACTACAGCTAGGAAATTCTAGCATACTTCAGAGAACCAATCTATTTGATTTACCTGCTGCAAACAGCATGACAGCAACTGGTCTGTAGAACCGCCTCCGGGATCCCACACAGATAGAAATTAATCCAACCAAGAAAGCTATAAGAATTATGGCGGCACCACCCAACAGCATAGAAAGTGTAGCGATCTGCCAGTCTGCAGAGAGAAGGAAACACAAATAATTGAAAACTAGATAGTAACTCATATAAAAAGGATGTCTATGTAAAATGCAAAAACAAACCAAGACTCCAGTAAACACAAAAAGGTGTTATTCATAACAGAAAATACAATTGCATTCAGACTTTTAAAAATAGCTTTTCAGGACAGTTCTCTTAGTCAGATTAAAGCTGCTATCTGTATGTATTCTATTTTAGCTACTAAAGGAAAAACTGCAAGATTCTGTGTAATGCAGATATCGAGTGCTTATAATATTGACCATTTATCTCTTCACCACTTTCCTATAGCAGTTAATGGGATTCCCCTCCCTTAATTTACAGCACAATCCTATGTATGTTTTCTCCCAGGGAAGTGTGACAGAACTGTAGCTTTAGTTATAAAAGGTTTACAATAGTGAGGAGCTCAATAAAACTTGATATGACTAAAGTAGAATGGAAAAATTCATAGTGAAACCATCAGAGGGCTATCTGCAAATTAACACACTCAGGAGTGCCAGCTTGGCTTTGTGATCATGGGTGCCCAGGGCTGTGGGTGCCAGGCAGCATGCATGGCCCTGACACCAAACCTTTTCCATGCCTGGCCCCTGGGGAATTTTGTGGGTGCTTGGGCACCCAGGGCCCCAGGGAGCTGGCACCTACGAACGCACTTGAATTTCAACAGTTAGTTAGCTAGAGCTATTAATGGCCCAATAATCCTAAGGTGCATTTGAATGATGGGTGTAACATGAATACACCAAAACAAATGATACTTCTGATTGAAAACAATTCTATTGTTTCAGATATACTTGTCCAGGCTACAATTTATATTTATTTTAAAGATTTATAGCCTGTTATTCATTGGCACAAATATCAGGGTAGGATACAACATAAAAAAAACACAAGCAAGCAAAGTTCAAGTCAGCTAAACAGAGAAGGCTAAAACGGACACATTCAAAACTTAAAAATAGGAACTACTTCACTTGGCACGAAAATGACAACCATGTCAGACAACGTGCAAGGGGAGGGCATCCCACAGAGAAAAATCCATCTTGTTTCACCACCAAATGAACCTCCTCTAACAGTGGAATGCAAAGAAGAGCCCCAGCGGCTAATCTTAAAACACAGGTATTCAGGACCACAGTTCAACAGTATGTGGAGACCATTTATAATATAAAATATCATTAGTGAGCTATTTTGCAAGAAAATAGCAGCACAGGGGAACTGAATCCATTCTTTCAGTCCCTGCAGTTGGAACCTGGTGGTGGGAAGGACTGTAGCTCACTGGCAGAGCACATGCTTTCCATGCAAAAGGTCCCACATTCTCCAGGTCGAGATGGAAAAGTCTCTTGCTTGAACTCTTGGAGATCTACAGCCAGTCAGCAGCATCAATACTGCACTAGATAGGTCAATGATCTTAGTTGAGATTCCTGCACTAGGGGCTGAACTAGATGGCCTCAGGGTCCCTTCCAACTCTATGATTTTATGATCACTCACACACAGATTAAAATATAGCTGCCCCCATGTGTACATTGGGGGCAGTCATCTTTTTCTCTTGTTAACTACCCAGGAAGGGGTGCTCTGTCATACCATACTACATCTTCCAGTAGCTTTTTAGTGAAATGTGTTCAATGAGTGCAGGAAGACCACTTGCTAAATGGTCTTTAAAAGAAAGAAAAAATGTCAGGGAGGACCGCAGACCACCTTGGACGTACTTATAATTTTATTTTATTTTTTAAGTATAGGGGGTTTTCTTCCTAGGATGACTTAGGACAGGACACCACTGGCTTCTTTGCCTCACACAGAAAAATGTATTTGGTGAGACTAGGTAAGGACAATAATTTGCAACAAATTAGACTACAGGATTTTGTGCTTTGTGTAGACAAAAGTTTTTTTATACTGTATAACTTTGGGAACTTAGTTTGCACGCTCTCCAATCCCACAGTTGTATTAATTTTAAAACAGGACTTCTCGGCAAAAGAAATAGGGCATTATGTTATATAATTGATGGCACAAAATCAGGTTAAACACAATACACCAAATAATCTTGGGCTGAGATTTTCAAAGCCAATTTAATGAGTGTGGTGAATTAAAATCCCCCAGCTAATTTAGAATTTCTTAATGCAAGAGTTCTAAAGGCTCTTCAAGCTAATGAAATGTAGCAAGAGCTGAGGCAAGGGTAGAGCTGCTCTCAAATTTAAGAGCAAATTCTGTCACACATGTGTATAATATTTATTTTACTTTAGAAAGAGAACTGTAGGTAGTGGAATGTTTTATGCAACCCCCCCCCCAAAACCAAAACACTCAACACACCAGAACAGAACAGTACTGTACTGTTAAACAGAGAGATGTAAGTACCATATTTTTTGCTCTATAAGACTCACTTTTTCCCTCCTAAAAAGCAAGGGGAAATGTATGTGCGTCTTGTGGAGTGAATGCAGGCTGCACAGCTATCCCAGAAGCCAGAACAACAAGAGGAATTGCTGCTTTCACTGCGCAGCGATCCCTCTTGCTGTTCTAGCTTCTGAGATTCAGAATATTTTTTTTTCTTGTTTTCCTTCTCCAAAAACTAGGTGCATCTTGTGGTCTGGTGCATCTTATAGAGCGAAAAATATGGTAATTGAAGGCTTATGAAAGAATTCAACAAAACTTTCTTTGGTTCAAACAAGTGCTATTTGGATGTTCAAGTTATGTATGATTAACATCACATGAGGCACCCTGCACCAGCCACTTCCCCAACACTATCCAAATGTTTGGGAGGAAGTCTGCAGCAGGGCAGCATAACCAAAAGCAAGTAGGGTGTCTCTTGTGACCTCAAACCCTGGGTGCTTAGTCTGTAATCACTTTAGGATTGGGGGGGGGGGGGCTGGGCAAGAGTATCTAAAAGGTATGAAAATGAGCCATGCATAAGATTTAACTTAATTCTATATGTGAAGCTGTAATGGAAGTGTGGATAATTGCATAGTGATACATTCATTGTGGTCAATTTTTATTACAACTGGAGTGGAGAAAATTGCCTAACACATTACAGTATATCAATACCACACTGTTAATACATGAATACAAGTTTTAAATAGAAAGAAACAAGCCACTACCTTTGACATGTGATAGTCTTACATAAACAGATACAGATCCCCCAACTCCCCCACTCAAAAAAGAAAAGAAAAGAAAGAAAAGCATATTGAATGAAATCATGGTAGGAGGGACATATGGTGAATTGGTGATAGCCAGTTCACGGATAAATGATTAATCAGTATACCTTTGCTTAAGAGTCAATTCTCTAGTATCCCATTGAATGAAATGGACTTTTTCACACCTGCTTGGAAGAAAAGTCCTCAGTCAAATCACTGTACTCCTAACCTTCATGGACAGTGTTGGAAACAACACATTGTCCCCAGTCTCTAGCTAGCATTGGGGAGGGGCCTGCCTGAGTCATAATGGTAGGGGTGCATTTAGTGAAAATGACCCTGCTCTCCTGCCTCATAACTGACTGGCAAAATAGGTCTACAGTAGCACAGGAATGCAATATATATGAAATGTATACTGAGTAAGGTCACTGCATGCAGGCCACTTTTCCTGTGGCAGCTGATTTAAACTATCTTCAAACTGTGTCCCTTTGTGGACTTACAGGCTCTTTTTTGTAGTTTTGTGGCAGTACAATGAGTTACTGGTAATACACAAGAATGTATCATGCATACCACTCCTAACTATGGAAAGTATCTGGATTGCTGGCTCAGACAGAACAGATCTAGCTTATGTCACAATTAACCTTCTTTTATTCTTTTAATTTATTTTTTCCTTGTTCTTCAGCTAGGGAACCTTGGAGCAGATAATGAAAGATTTAAAAATACAATAAAACAACATTAAAACTGCAGAGTATAAAACAGCTTTTGAAATAAATTAGTGACAGCTCGGTTGAAATGCAAGAGAAAACTACAATATGGAAAATGCCTGAGCAAAGAAAAATGTTACACCTGACTCTGAAATGACATCAAACTTGACATGAGGAAAGTCTATCTGGGGAGAGAGCTCTAAAACGTAAAAAAGGTACTGGTTCTAGGTCACTATCTGCTTCATCTCTCATGGCAGATGCACTCAAAGGAGAGTCTCATGAAAAGATTTCAGTGTCCTGGCACAAGACAGTCCTTGTAGCCTTTAAATGTAAGAACCAGCACTCTGAATGGTGTCTTGAAGTAGACTGGGAGCCAATACTGTTATTTAAGACTGGCAAGATCTGTTCCAAATACCCAGTTTCAAGTCTGCACTCTAACAGCTGTTTTGCACCAACTGAACCTTCTGGGAAGTCTTCAAATGCATGTACGGTAATCGCTAACAGGAACTGCTCTGCAACTGCTGTTATCATTTATACTCACAACAGCCATGTAAGATAGATGAATTAAAAAGGTAGAACTAATTCATTTTTATACAAATCCAAAGAAATTATGATCCAGTTATTAATGGGACCTAAATTAGTCACAACGAACTTGTCCTATTGATTTCAACAAGTCATAAGCACGGAATTCTCTGTATTTGGACCAATATATTTTTAGCACAAAGTTATGTAGGTTATCGGATGAAAGTTAAGTATTGAATGTACAGCAATAGACTCTTGTTCCATTTATTTCATTATACAATAAGATCACAACTAACTGTACATCTGATAAGCTTCCTAAATGGGCTGAATGGTGGTATTGCAATATAATGGGAGTTTGTGGTGAAGCCAACAGTCTTCCCAAGGGTTCAGCAGGAACTCAATAACGCACTCTTCATTATGTTAAAGCAGATTAAACAGAAGTTTGTTACATCCATACACAGTGAGCTTACAATCCTGGATTTAAAATTTCAGAACAAGTGGTTTTAATAGCTACATTTTGACCACACTGAAGCATCAGAGCCCTACAAAGCAAACTGTCTGCTTTACAAATATTTACAAGAACTTGTTTCAAACTTCAGAAATGCAGATTCTCATTGATGTCACTGATAACTCTCTAAACATGTAGGCAATCCCAATGCAAGAAATATATAAATCTGTCTTTGTGCTATGAAGCAGATTGAAGCCACTAATGTTTAGAAGCTGTGTACATAAAGGACTCGCTCAGATGGCCATTCCTTAGCGTAAGACACTATGACCCTTTTGTGAAAAGGCCCATGTGAATTAACAGGGCAGCAGGTCTGTGTTGTTCACACCCCTAGGGTTGCACAGCTCCTTGGCTTTGTCCCTGATATCCACACATTAAATGGAAAATTTTGACCAATGGGTCTAATTAGCCGACCCAGTTGGCCCATGAATCTGCTTTGGCCATACTGTGCCCACCTGCCCTATACATGGTATCACATGTAATTTAATGTGTGGAGTAAGTGAAGATGCTTCTGGGCCAAAGGGACTTGAACAGTGTTCCACAACAACCAGCTGATCACTGATGCAGACATAAACAGGTTATCATGGGACATCATTATGATGGATAGTTGGGCAAACACAGCCACCTGTCAAGCCACAGGGGATAGGAAAGATAAGGTTCTGGCCCACAGACCACATTCAGTTCCCCAGTTCACATCTACATGTTTGGATCTTTACAGACCGGGAGCAATCCGACCCTAAAGCGCAGGTACTGCTGCATGGGTCTACTGCCCCTTTAATTGGGCAGAGACATTGTGTTTAACATATGATGGGACTTTTCTGAGATGAGTTTTCCCTTTAGTTTTTTGTGCAGGGAAATAGTTTACCCAAACACCAACATATGGTAAGATCATCCAGGAAATTAGTATTTGGGCTGGAATCCTGACCTGTCAGTAAGCCCCACTGAACCCAGTGGGAAATTAGACATGCATAGGATTCCATTGCCAGTGACTTAAAAAAATATATCTGCTGGTTATGTGAAGAAAATATTTTGCTGATTAAAAAAAGGGGGTGATGACTTACATAGGTCTGATCTGTTTTAAAATGCAGTCACAGCCTGATTCTGTACATCACTACCCAGTGTGATTTTCACAGTTGAACATAGTAGTTATTACATCACTTGTCAGACTTTCCAGCACACTAGAGTATACAAACCTTTGCAATTTAAAATATAATGCTGCTTTAGTACCAGACCAAAATATAATTTTTAGAACTATTTCTATTGATCTTCTATGTTTCAGCAGAAGATGATTTCTTGGGTAAATACATTTTCTTGCTAAGTGGTTGAATCTAAAGTATAATAACACTAAGAAACATAAGTTCAATGAAAGTGTACTTATGATGCTTCAGTTCTTTCCTAGAATGAGAAAATGTTTTTCCCCCGCTGTATGGAACTGAAAATAAGACATGATAATCTATGGCAGCTATTTCAAAAAACTGATGCAAACCTAGTTAATTCTTTTGGATAGCCACAAATGCTTTAAGCCGAGAAATGGAGAACTAGCATGGCCAAAGGTTGGGGTGATGGAAGTTAGAGGCCAACAACATCTGGACTGTGATGGCCATCAGCTTGAATGGCTTTAAAAGAGGATTAGACAAATCATGGAGGATACGGTTGTCACTGGCTACAAGCCCTACCTTCACTGTCAGAGGCTGAATGCGTCTGAATACCAATGGCTGGAAATCATAGGAGGGAAGAGTGCTGTTATGCTTAGGTCCTGCTTGTGGGTTTCCCATAGGCATCTGGTCAGCCATTATGGGAACGGGATGCTGGACTAGATGGGCCAATAGTCAGATCCAGCAGGCTCTTCTTATATTCTTATGGAAGGCCACAGTTTTCTCACTCCTGTTTTGTTTTATGCAATATCTGTCTTCACTTACATGGGATAAATTGGGAGAGGAGAAAGTATCTTTTTTTGTGACAGTGTCAATGAACAATCATTATTTTTCTAGTTAGGATTCAGAAGTGTAGCCAGGATAGTCTGAATAAAGGCAGGCTCAGAAAATACTGTGGTATCCTTGGAAATAATTCACCACCACCACCGAAGAAATGTTCCCCTGCAAAAGGGTTTTATTGCAACACCTTAACACTGCCTGCAATCCTCCTGAATGGCATCATACAGGTATAAAATAGTATCACCATCTTCAGAGACTGAATTACAACAACTTAAAGTAGAACAGTAAAATTAAAAGAATGTTTCACATGATGTACAACAAATTTATTATCATGCTTGCAGAAGGGTAATCAAATTTCCTGAGCAAGGTCAGTATTTGGGGGATAGGAAGAAAGGAAATATTTCATTCCCTTGTACCACAATTTCAGACCTTCTTTCCCTTTCTCATGCCACTATATCCACCTCATGTCAGTAAAACAGTTGCCCATTCTCTCCTTAACAGGATAAAAGAGTATTTATCGTGATGTTGGTGGCTATAACAACCTCAGTGATTCCCCATTGTGATGTCTTGTTTTGTAAGATTAGATTCTCCAAGTGCAAAACAAAAAGGCCTGGTTCACACAAAACACTAAGACACGTTAACCATTAGTTGCTCCCTCAGACATTCATGGATTGTTTCTCCAAACTTTGATTTGTTTCCCAGCTGCTCTTGCCTTGTGCCTTTGTACTTTGGTGAGAGTTTGAGGTCGATGCTGGATTCACATGCAATGCTAAGTCATAGTAAGAATAGCCAAGGTTTGTAAGCAAACAGTACATGACTTCCCATTATGCTGGCAGTAAACAAACCATAGGTGAGCTGCTGGAGTGCGCTCAATAAACCTCCATGCTATATTGAACTTCCACAACAAATCAGTTTAATCTAAGCAAAATATCACAATATCCTACCTTTCACCTCACACTCTACTTCTGTATCAGAGTGTTATTAGAATTTAAACATTCATGCTGTTGTTTCTTACTTCTTTCTGCACTTCTACACAAACAATAGAAACCTCCACTTTCCACAGCTCCTTTAGGAGGAAGGGGGATATAAAATGAAACAATAATAATAATGCCTCCTTCTGCACCTCTTTGTTACTGCCCCCTACCAGTCGCCTCCTTAGACAAAAAGCTGAAAGTAACTAGATAACTGTCATTTAAGAGAAGTCTGACAATTAAACCATATTAATATACCCAAAGTAAAAACACACAACTGTACTATGTAAATACCCTAAAATCTGAGCCACTCTTTATTCTCAGAAAGTGGGGTGGGACACTGTGTTTCTCCTATAATACAGTACAGAAGGTACAAATCAAGAAAACCCAAACAATTATATAAAAGTTTGGAAACTTCAAGCAACTCAGCATGCAGTATTTTCACTGCTGCCTTGTGTGTTCATATGGGAGTCTGTTGAGGTAGCATAAGAATTTGTGGCGGGAAAGGCACTTTTTATTTGGGAGCCAACTTTAAGCAACCTATTTTCTTTGATAGCCAAAGCCCAGTATCTTTCACCAGACTCAGCCAATAAGAATACTGAAGGTGTGGATCACTGTAGCCCTAGCTAAACCCCTCAATTCTATTCTTTGTCAGCTGTCTTTGGCTGTCACACTTTGTTGCTCCTGCCTTTCCACCAGTGATGTGGGCCTGAGGAAAACATCTCCTCTGAACTGGGTATTTGTATGGGGAGAAAACACTGCATTAGCAACAATGTAAATATCATGCCTGATGCAAACTCATTAATGATGACTTTTGTCCCCAGCAGATGTGATTTGCTTTAAAAACAAAAAACAAAACCCTGCATATTAAGTGCAAAGCCACATTTAATATCACATCTAGTTTGGCCCTTATAACTGTGGGGAGTATCAATTCCATAGACAAGTTTTCCTATCATTACACTGAATGAAGGCATTTTGGGTCAACTTTATTCATGCCTTAGTAACTTCCATGATCTCTTTCAGCTATTTAGTTTTATCTTATTGATTTCATGTGTTGTGTTTGTCTGCCCTCCAGCATTCCCCTCTCCGCCCCCCCATTTGCTGCTTCTTTTTCTTGTTACTGTGCCTCTATTTTCATAGTTACTGCTCTTGAAAATCAACCGTAGCCACATTTCAAAATACTCAACGTAAATAGTTTCTGTCAAAATTTTATTTTTACTTGTCTTAAATAACATTTTATTTATTTCCAAGTGTCATAACTAGGCATCAGGCAAACCAAGCATCATAACCACAGTGGCACTTGAAATGTGTACAATAGATACAATGCATGGATAGACCCTCTTTGCACACACTGGCCTCACAAGCTAGAGAGCTGAATCTTAAGAAAGTTACAGGATAAGTTGGCCATACACTTTTGGCAAAGCCCCTCACCAAAGACTTATGAGTAAACTTAGCCATGGGGATAAGAGAACATGTCCTCTTATAGACTGGAAATGGATTAAAGAACAGGAAGCAGACAGAAGGAATAAATGGATAGTTCTCACAAGGTAAGGTATAATAAGTTGGATTCCCCAAGGGTCTATATTGGGTTTTAACTTGCTCATTAATGACTTTTAGTTAGGGGTGAGCAGTGAGGTGGATGAGTTTACTGACAACACTGAATTATTCAGGGGGTAAAAACAAAAAGGGATTGGAAAGAGCACCAAAAGGTTTTCTCCAAACCAGGTAAATGGACGATAACATAGCAAACACACATTAATAGAAGTATAAACTGGCACACATTGGGACAAAAAATACACTGATGAGGTCTGAACTGGCAGTGGCTGACTAGGAAAGGGATCTTGGGAGTTGTGGTGGATAGCTCAGTGAAAATGATAACCAAGCACACAGCTTCTGTGACAATGGTTAATTCCATTTTAGGGATCATTAAAGAAAGGATTAAAAATAAAACAGCCTGTATTGCAATGCCTTTATACAAATCTATGGTATGATCACACCTCAAATACCATGTACTGTTCTGATCACCTCATCCTAAAAATAATATTGTAGAACTAGAAAAAGTGAAGGTGGACAGCAGTCGATACTATCAGGAGGGTGGAGCAGTTCCCTTTTGACGAATAGTTATTTAATTAAGGGGACATATGATAAAGGTGTAGAAATTATTCATGGTGTTGAAGAATGTGGACAAAGGTATGTTTTTCTCCCTGTCACATAGCGCTAGAACTTGGGGTCATCCAATGAAGCTGGGTAGTGAGACAAAGTTAAACTATAGAATTCTCTACCATAAAATATTGTTATCTTGTGCTCTGTAGCATTTGCAGTTCTCTCTAGTTCTCTAGCGCTGCAAACTTGGAGAACGGTTCAGCAAGTGGTCATTCTCATTGATTCCAATGGAAGAGAGCCATGTGGGCTCACTTTTCCACTGAAATGTATAAAGTGCTAACTTTGGATGGTTTGTGTCCTAACTTTCTATACTCTCCATTTCTCCATCGGAGTCAGTAATGACTGAAGGGGCTTCTGTGGAATGCCACCTGTTACTGTTTCTCATTTTGACAGTGATCCAATAATTACTATTCCTTATATCAGTGCTTTTTTTCAGGAGAATTCAAGGGTATGGAGTACCAGCACCTTGTTGTTGTTGTTGTTAAAAAGTGTGGCACTTATTGTAACAATTTCATGGTGAGTACCAGCATCTATTTTTCTAGGAAAAAACACTGCCTTACATTAACTGAAGAAGTCAATATTCCATAAGCTAGCACCTACCTCCTCCCACTGATTATGAATATGAATCCTACCGCATCATCTTTTGCAACTGAGTATGAGTCAAGGTTACAGTCCACTTGATTCTAAATATAAACCTCATAAAATATTTAGACTACTTATATTATCACTAGCAGTAAAAGCATCCTTTAAATTCCGGAAGCCCAATTAAAAATATTTAAAGGAGAAGCAGGCATTAAAATTTTAAATGCTGCAATATACAAAAGCAGTAACAGCAAGATAAATTAGTTTAGGATACACTTCACTGAAGATTTCTTCCATGCTTAGAATAAAACAAAACTGAATACAACAGTTGGCTTATAAAACAAAACTGAATACAACAGTTGGCTTATACATGATATGGTCCAAGCACAAACTTCCCAGAAAGATCTAGAAGAGTTATGAGAGACACAGAGAAAGGGGCTATAACTCAGTGGAAGGCCCAAGCCTATCCCTGGCATCTCCATATAGGGCTGGAAAATACTCATTTGAAACATGGAAGAGCCACTGCCTGTCAGTCTGCATTTATCCCTGTTGTGTCTAAAACACAAGATGGGTGTGTAGCCTTTTCTCCATAAGTTAATCAAGGTAACCAACACAGCTATGTCTATCCTCTAAAAACTGACCAATAGGGATTTTATTGGTTTGGGGTTGGGGCTCACTTATGTTCTTTTTATGGGAGATCTTAAAGCACATGTGTCTGTTGTTCTGTTTGCTTTTTCCTCCCTTTTCTAGGCCACTCGCCATATACTCCATCAGTATTTCTCCCCCTGATTTGGGTAACATCTCAGGCATGATAAGGAACCTTTGCTCACTTGATTCTTAAGGTGCAAGAACACGAAGAGGCAGTTAATAAGCTGTAGAAGCTGCTCCCTGACATCCCATTCCTGTGTGTGTTAGTGTGTCTTCACAGGACCAAGTGATAATGTGCAGACTCACAACTAGATCATAATCAAAGAAACATGGGTGCTGTGTGTCTTCCCTGATATTGTGTTGGCACACAATGCTAAAGGCAAATGAGCAACCTTTCCTAGAAGTGCAATTCTATATATAGACTTTCCTGGAAGCAATCCACATTTGGCTTACTTCTACGTAGACACCTATAGGACTACCCTGCAAGATGCACAAAGATTTCAAGTGGACCTGACTCTAGCTCTTCTTTGACTAGAGGCAAGTACAGGCATTGATGCTGCTGACTACATAAGGAAATGCATGGCACTGATGAAACATTGCTATAGTGCTGGTGATGTGACCCTATGGAGCATAGGAACATGCACTGACCTTTTCATTCCTAGACAGGGGTTAAAGTGCTGGACTAGACAGAGGTTTAAAGTCCCCACTCAGCCATGAAGCTCACTAGGTGACTTTGGGCCACTCACTGTCAGCCTAACCTACCTCACAGAGTTGTTGTCAAGATAAATTGGGAAGGGTCAGAACCATGTACGCCATGTCTAATCCTCTTTTAAAGTCGCCCATGTTTGTCCATGACTTTGCCATCTGTCTAGGGCTATGTGGCTGACAGGGGGGAGCTTCTTGTGGTCGCTTCAATGGGCTTGGTCCACCACGTGGTGCATGACAGGGCTTTCTCTGGTGTGGCCCCTGACTTTAGAAGTCCCCTCCTCTGGAAGTCCAAATAATGGAGACTCTTATGGGCTTCTGCTGGCAGGTAAAGATAACATGGGCTTTTGGAGCTAACCAGCAACCACTAGTTATCCTATTACTATTCATGCTTTATGCTGTTACCCTATTACTATTTTGTTAAATGCATTGTTTCAACATTTGTTTTTATTTTTTTGCTTATTTTGTGTCTATGTGCAAGTGAATTGATGGAAACCACTCTGAGATTGCATTGAAGTGATAAAGGGCAGTCTACAAATCTGTAGAAATTAATAAACAATACAGTGGTACCTCTGGTTACGAACACTTCAGGTTACGAGCTCCGCTAACCCAGAAGTAGCTGCTCCTGGTTGCGAACTTTGCCCCAGGATGTGAACGGAAATTGTGCACCAGAGGCGAGCGTGCAGCAGGAGGCCCCATTAGTGAAAGCGTGCCTCAGGATAAGAACCGTTTCAGCTTAAGAATGGACCTCCAGAACAAGTTAAGTTCATAACCAGAGGTACCACTATACTATAGAATCCATTGAACTGGATAAGGATTTCTGAATTGGAAGTGTCAGAAATGTTGATGTGCTTGCTTTTTAAAATCTGATTTTGCACATTTCTATCCAATTCCTCAAAGTAACTACTATCTATTTAGTGGTATGGCTGCCAGTGAGGACCATTTAGACACCCCCAGTTGCTGCATGCCTTGCCAGCAGAGAAGAAAAGATTTAGAAGAATCATAGAATCGTAGAATTGTAGAGTTGGAAGGGACCTTGAGGGTCATCTAGTCCACCCCTGCAATACAGGAATACGCAGGTGGCCCTTAAGGGGATTGAACCTGCAACCTTGGTGTTATCAGCACCACACTCTATGTAGATTAGCCTTCCTGGATTGCAGAGGAAGCATCTTGAACGTGTTCAAAATGGGGAGGGGTTCCACCACAGATGCAAGGATGCTGTAAAGATTTGCATTCTTATACAATATATCACAATTACTCCTTTGAGAAAAGAGGGTACATTCTGGAAAGCTTTAAAATAAAGCCTTCTTTAAAATCCATCTTCTAGTTATGTTTCAGAGTAAGACATGAATTTGCCTTTTATACAGCTTGTTGGCCATGGCGTCTGTAAAACTTTTTATGTTAACAATTGCTTTTTCCATTCTGCTTAGCTATTATTTTTCAGTTTTAAGAAAACATTTCCAGGAAAGCAGGGAAGAATAGTGTGTTGTGACTATCAGTCTTGCTGAGCTATTTGCAAATATCCATCACTATCAACTCAGTTAAAGCCATGATCTACATATTCCCAGGAGGAAGCTGCTTTTGAGCTGTCAATTCCACTTGGAACAGCTGCTCTCATGCAAAATAAGCAGACACACAAACTATGACTGTTAAAACATAGGTTAGTTAGTAGATAATAGATTTAAAATGGGATATTGCAATATTTCGGTAAAGCAATGTGGAAAGAAAGGAGTAATTAATTTGCATTACATTTTTAACAATAGATTGAAAGATCCTAGATGAAACTAGTAAGCATTTAGTCCTATGGATTCCCAAAAGTTATAAGGAACACATCTGAATGCTGCTGTATAAACATTATGATACATGTTTCACCAGAGAACAATAATATCCTGTAAAGAAGAAAGCTTTATAATGTTTGTTTATGTTTTTCTCAGTGTAATGTTATTTGGATGATTCAGACTCCCAAAAGGCTTTTTTTTGTATAAATGCATGTGTATGTGCTTAAGTGAAAATACACATTGTCTAGAAAGACCATATCTCAAAGTGCCACTTAATTTTGACAATACTACAAAGGTAGTATGCCTGATCTGTAATAAGCAACATAGTATGACAAGCATAATTCAGCACCATACGATTCTACAGCAAAGGCTTTGAAAGCCTAATGCAGTGTGCCATACATGTGGGCTACATTCTTCACACGTCAAATGCCATAAGAAAATACAGTATGCATGCACTTACACATAGCTCTGATGTAAGAATAAGCCATGTTGCTATTTTAAATGGCCTAATCTACATCAAAACAACAATGTCAGACTTCCAAGCTATGACTCTTCACAATTTTACTTCCATGTAGCTCCAGAGAAATCAACAGGGCTGCCCAGGAGTCTGGGATCTTAGCTGAAATCTACCGACTTATTTTAAAATGCCATGATCAAAACATGCTCTTTTTTTTATCAAATCATCTGCACAGATGGGGGACAACTGCATGTCTAGTTTATTATCAGGCAAATTTAATATGGATGGATGCCTCCTGAAATATTTAAAATATATACACAGCCCTCTCTCCCACTTTGGTATTAGCAGTGTTAGCAGAAACATGCTGATGCTCAGTGAGTGTTACAGCTATATAGCACATTATATAGTTAACAAGGGATATGCTGGCCGTTAGCAAAACTGGACAAAGAGACTGTTTTCTGGTAATTGCTCAGAGGATGTTCCTTGCTGCAGATACAACCAAATGTGCCCTCTCTGAGAGCAGTCAGGACCTAAAGTCTAATTAAGACAAAGGTTTTTAATTAAACCCTGGATATGCTTTAGCAGGCTCTGGTGTGTGGCTGCCCTTGATTGTGCCACTTGAGGTGCTCTCCTTCAAGGGGCAATGAAGCAAATGTTTTAAGACGGTAGGGAGAGATGCCTTGTGCCTCTGGCTCCTTCTGTTTCTCCAGTGACAATGCTCTTTGCCCTGGTGTCATAATTAAAAAGTCTTCCTAAAGGAAGCTCTTTCTGCTTATTTCCCGTATATCCCAATTATTTTAACCTTAAAAGCCTTGCCTGCAATGAGACAGAATAGGAATACTTTGTTTTACGTAGAAGAAAAAAGGCTAAGTTCTTAACAACAAAGGGCTATTGTGAATGTAGAACAAATCACACTATAGACTTAGGACCCAATCCATTACTCACCCAATGCAATGAGGGCCTTTTGCCAGCTTGTGCAGAGGATTTGTTTGTATCAAAGGACAAACATTTGTGCATATGCATGTCTGTGTAAACAGTGCACATTCTCATATTTCAGGAAAGCTTTCAAAGCTTGCCTCTAGACCCAGATACAATTAAAGGAAAGGTCTTGCTTAAAATAGTCTCAGTAGTCATTCCCAGCAGCTTGTAAAACATGCAAAACTATTTTAAACAAACCAAAAAAAAAATCAGTAAAGCTTAGTCTATGACTTCATAGAATGGGAGTGCCTTGAAATTTCCTGAAGGAGCAGGAAGGCATTCAGGAAGACACAACAACAAATACCTGCTCTTCCCATTCATTTATTGTTCAAAAATGCAATGACAAGCCTTCAGCTCACATCCAACCCATTCCCCTCACTCACACTTCTATAGGAAAAATCTAAAAAGGGAGATGTCTGCCAGATGCAAATGGAGAGTGCTTAGTAGTCCTCTAATGCTGATCTGTGCACTATTTAACCTTCCTAATCCCTCATACTTTGGAAGGTAAGGAAATAAAGTAAAACCAGCTGAACTGAAACTTGGTCCCCCACTTCCCACCTCCACCCAATTCATCTGAAAAGTCTTTATGCAATCAAGGGATATCATTTTAGAAGACAGAGAAAGGGGCAAAAGGATTCCTGTTGCTAGGGAGACACATCAAGTCAAAGCTGACATTCCTACATAAATTTCAGGGGGTGGGGTGGGAGGGGAGAAGAGATTTTTAAAAAATACAGCTCTGTTACAAAGTTTGTTTAGACTCCCTGGTAACAGCGCAAAGAAGCAATTCTTTAAAAAATAAAATAAAAATGATTTACTTTACATGACACAATTGACAGCAAACCTCACCCAACACCAAATCTTACTTGATGGAGTGATAAAAAGTACAAAATAAAAGAAAGGACCTCTGCTGCAGTTTTGAAGCAAAGATCTCCAAGAACATTTTAAAGAATTTTCAGAGAAACAAAGGCATGTAGCAAAATACACAGCAGGCAGTCAAACCAATAGGAAACCAATCTCTTATTGCACAATTTCTTAAAACACAAGGGTAATACATGATTCAAAACCAGATTTAGGGTTTAGTAAGTGAAGGCTACAGTTTAACTTGTAGATGTTTCCAATAGAGATTATAGAAGCAGCTGTGATACAGTGGAAAATAGAAGCAACTCTCACAAAAAGGATTTTTGCAGACTGAGCAAGCCACTTGATATGGGGATGGAGGGATGATTTTGAAACAATCTTGCTCATTTCAAGGGGCAATTTTTCCATTAGGGAGAGATATTATTTTGCTTACTGAAAGAAAAAATGAAACAGGATAAATGCCAATAAGGCCAACAAGATACGGTACATGGGGGAGGGGGGAAGAGGCTGAGAGACAAAGCTGCATATGTTGCCTAGTGAAAGTTCTCATCAGGGACAGAAAAGGAGGAGAGCACAGGAATAACAGAAAAGGGAAAGTGTCAGAATACAGTGACAGGAGAGTGTTGCTTCTTATGTTGGCTACAGATTCAATGAACTGAAAGCCACAACTTTTTTGTCAGCTTCAGTTCGAGGACTGGGAACCGGGCATAGGGTAAAATACTGATTTGAAGTTAAAAACAACAGCAAGATAATCCACAAAACACCTTCACACCACAACATGCAGGATTGAGGCTCTTTTCATGAACGAAATACGCCAGTTCATTAAAAACAACAACAGGGTATCCCATGATGCAAATGCTTTGAAAAAGCTAGCCCTGTTTTCTAGCCCTTGCTGTATCCTGACTTCCAAGACAAGAGAAAAGGAGTGCATAATGCTGTATGTGTGTAGATGTAAATCCTTAACTGCCTGCTTCACAGACGCATCATTTAAACATATTGCTTCTCTGTCTACATGGGGCTATGAGGAGGAGGGACAGCTGGGGAAATAAGCAGGCAGACATAAAGAATAAATTCAGCATAAGAAAGAGGGAAAGGTAGAGGATTGGAACTTGGAGTGGCAGACTTGAGACTGCAGCTCATGGGGTGCTGGGAAGGAAGGGCATTGGGGGCACGTATGATGGATTGATCACAACTAAAGCAGAATGTGGCATTTGGATTTGGGCAATGAGAAAGACTACTGGAGAGGATCTGAGATGAGGTGGGAGGAAAAAAGGAGTAGGTTCAAATTAGGATGCAGGGATGAGTGTGCTGTGTGTGAAGTCAGGTGGGATAGAAAAGTGGTCAGGGATGGAGAGGCGGGTTGCGCTGGGTCCAGGTGGGCAGCAGGAGGCAATGTGAGGGCAATGAGCAATGCTCTACGTGGGTAACAACGGGCTGCCGACTCCGGATGATGGGACAAAAGAGGCGTTTTGAGAAGGCGAGGCTACCGCTATGGAAGCAGAAGTGTTCAGGATAAGAAAAGGCGTTCTGTTAAGAGGTGGCGCTGATGGATCCTGGAGAGGAAAGAGGGGCAAAGCGGGGGCAGAGGAGAAGTCCGGTGCTGCGGAGGAAAAGGCTAACCTGAGCGGGTGGGGATGAGGGAAGGAGATGCTATTCTAGGGGCGGGATGCGGGGGGGGGCAGGGAGGACCCTCTCCGAAGAGATGTTGGGGGGCGCTGCTGCAATGGGTGGGGTCAGAGGGAGAGGCGCGGGACGGGGAGGGAACGGGGGGGGGGTTTGAAGTCAAGAAGAAGGCAGGGAAAAGGTGCCGGGCAGGTGCCCCCCCCTTCTCTCACCGCTGTTCAAGGTAGTTATGCAGCGCCAGGTCTCCGGGTTGTTGAGTTTCTCGCAGGACTCCCACAGGGAGAGGTAAGACTGGTGGTCGGCCGTCACCCAGGCCGGGCTCAGCACGGCTCCCAGATCCAGACACAGCGCCAGGAAGATGCACACCAGCCCCACCAGCTTGAGCGGGGTCAGCACCGAGACGCGCACCTCCTCCATGCCGCTGCCGGAGGAAGCCATGGGCGAGCGGGGAAGCAGGCGCCCCTCGGCTAGCAGCGCCGCCGCCGCCCGAGCCAGGGGAGCGAGCCGACCTCGCTGCTGCTGCTGCTGCTGCTGCTGTGGCTCCTGCCGCTCAGGTACGGACGAGGAAGGCGGGGAGGCGGCAGCTCCCTCCAGTCGCCACTTCTCGGCTCGCGCAGCCCGGCTCTCCCCAGCAGCACATCACTCCTCCCCTCTTCCCTCCCCCTGTCTGGGCAAGGGGCGGGAGGAGCTGCACGGGGGCCGGCGTCGAGCCGCGCCGCGCACGTCACTCGCAGGGCTCCCTCCAGGGAAAGAAGGCGGGAAAGGCTTTCGGCTGCCCCGGGCAGCGGCCGGCGCGCGCCCCTTTTCCCGCCCCAGCCCTTCCGCCGCGCATTCCTCGCCCTGTGGCGAGAGGAGGAGGAGGCGGGTGGGGCGGGTCGCTCGCTCTCTGCGGCCTTTGTGGCGTCCGAGAGGCTTTTCAGAAAAACGAGCGCTTCCAAGCTTTTCTCTGGAGTTTTCTCCTCGGGCTCTAGCCCATGTCAACAAACGGTTTTCAGACGGGGGAAAAAAAGTTTTTTAAAACTTAGGTTTTCTAGGGATGTGTGCCCGTTCTTCTTGGACACCTGCCATCTTCAGCTGCCTCTTGTTAGTCCCCCGTTCGGCGCCCCTTGCTTTGCTTTTGACGCAAACTCCCCGCGGGGGCTGCAAAGGTACAGGACAAATCGAATAGAAAGCGGAGGACTGGCAGCCGCAAGCAGTCGGGCGGCGGAGGGATTTCTGGAGTGATGGGTCGATGGAGACGTGGTCCCTTTGCTCCTCAAGCCTCTCTTCGAAACCTGCTCCCTGCTACCTTTATTTAGTGCTGAATAAATATCAAATACGAGTGCTATAGACCACTGTGTGGAGGGATAGTGGCATCTCATTCGCTACAGTAGGATGAATGGGGAGCAAAGCCCATGAATTTAATTGCCATGCCTGGATTGGAGGGCTTTTATTTATGGATCAAAATATAATAACTAGGCTGGTGTGACAGCGTTGCCTCTATAATGTCTTGAGACCAACCAACACCCCCTACAATAATGATAGTAACTTAATACAAAATGATACAATCAATAATGTAACGTTGGAATGGCAGGAGTAACTGGCAGCAGTGAATTCGAAGCAAGGAAAATACCTCTAACTTCACCCTGGAGTAGCAAATGGTGTAAAAAAGTAAATAAAACGTCCACTCAGATATTTACATAGAGATTGGCAGGAAGCATTTCATTTGAAGTGACAGTGGTGAATTATAATGACATTAATTCTAATTGAGATCCTTTCTTTTTAGTCTTCATGCTATAATCTTATGCTGTTTTGATAAGTCTTTCAACAAATAAAGTCATTCATTTTATTTATATGCAGCATTTCCCACAAATACATTGGTTCCCAAAGCAATTCACAGAAAATAAGCAGTCTTTAAATGCAATGGTACAAGAAGAGCACAAAATAAAAACAATAATATCACCACAACATAACCCTAATAATTCCATAATTAACAGTTCGCATGAAATATATCAAAGAATATTCCACTGTAGACTGTTATCCCACCATTATACCTAGTTAGATCTTCCTTCCTTCTGTTTACACTGCATAGGAGTGAGTGTTGTTGCTTATGTATCCCAAATGACATCACCTTTGAAAAAAGGACGGTATGAATCCACTTGGGGAAAGCCCAAGGTTTGTAGAAGAAGTCCAAAAAGTATTTATGTGGGGGAACATAAGGAGAGGAAACCTCAAAGGCACCCCGATGAGCACTGAGCATGCTCAGCAACCTTGGAATGCTGACTTGACTTGGAGAGTAGAAATGGAAAACCATGTGGAATGGAATAGGCTAGAATATCTTGGAAGAGCAGAGTGCATGGCTGATACGTTGCAGCAATAAACAGGAGCATTCCACACTCCAATGTTTTGTTTTTGATACCACTCCTTTCCTCTATTTCTAACGTTTAGGCCTGAGCATCTTACGGAAGGCCAAGGTTTGCAGAAGTACAAAACATGTTTAGTGGGGTGGGAGCCCCATGAGCATGTTCAGTGGTTGTGGAATACTGACTGACTAATTAGCAAGGGAATAGAGAACTGAGGTTTGTCTGTGAATGACTAACTGGGACAGTAAACAGGAGCACTCTGCACTGCAACTTTTTTTTGCAGGTCTCACTTGTACTTGTCATTCTATTGTGGATATTGCCATTACTTTTCAAAATCTAAAGAGAATCATTCCACCACAGGCAATTTCATTCACTCTAGATTTTTTTTAAAAAAGTTGCTTATTCCACACTAGAGTCCAGACAGCTTCGTTCCACATACATTGTACTCTAGACACCATCAATCTATCCTCATTTGCTATGCTTGTCGTGCTTTTTCATCATTCCTCCTTCTTTTTTTTAATATGCCCCAGAGGCCTCTGAATCCCTAGTAGACTTAAATCAATTTTCACAGTTTTGAAATCAATCCATTTTCCAGTTCACCCCCACACTTGTTCTCTTCCCCCCACCCACTTCTCTTTTTAATTTGGCTGCATTCATTTCTCTAGCAATTTGTTCAGACAAAACCCAAAACCAAACACTTTCAGGAGTACGATTAAATCTGCAGTGCTTGTTTGGGAGTGATTCCAACTTGGCTGAGAGGCATGCTAGGTTTCATGTCATGTAAGCAATAAACACTTCACTGTGCAAACGGTTGCTTCCTTTGAATGTATGGCCCAGGCAGCCTTTTATAAGGGATTCTAACTCATCTTTTAAATGTGTGATTTGACCTTCACAACACCCCTGATCACATGCAAAGAAGAAATGTCTGCTAATCAAACTGCTCAGGCTTGGCTTGTCATAAACTCTGTATTTAGTGTTAGGTGAAAGAATCTTCCCCAAACATACTTGATCAATGCTGTGTGGTTTCTTCTTTTTTTATTATTTTAAAGGCTTGTCACAATCTGCTTCAGTTCTGATGAACCATTATTTCTAGGTCAATAATGAATCCTTTTGGGCAGGGGGGAGGAGAGCAAACATAAAGAATAGCAAAGAAAACAAGAGGCGAAGGAATGCGTTTGAAGCCAACAGTTTCCAGCTGTTAGTCTTGATTCAAATGTAATTATTTTCCAAAAGAACTAAAGAAGAGACACGAAATTATGTTTCTGGGTCAGGGTTTGCAATGAAGTATGCAACTAATTCATTCTAAGGCACAAACATGCTGTAGCTGTTTTCTTCACCATGGTAATATATTTTCTTCACCGTGGTAATATATCACGAGAATGTATTCTGCACCACATTGCCTAGACATGTACCATATATTCGGGCAGACCTGGATTATTCAAGGCCAGGACAACAGGATCATCACCACTACCTTGGGACACATCAATGAAGCACTGTCACGCATTCCTAAAGTGTGCAGAAGAAATTGTATTCCTCACATCTGTATTTTTCCCTTTCCCTGGTGAGCTCGTGAGAGTGTATGTGGTCTTTTTATTTTATCACCACAACTGTTCTGTGAAGTAAATTCCAAAGATAGCAAATGTTATGTTGCACCCAAAGCAGACAAAGGTCCTGTGGCACTTTAATGACTCACAAACAATATTCAAGTAGGGACATGAAATTTAGGGTCATAGTAGCCCCTACAGAGGGGATCAACCCTGCCAAATTTGAGGTGGGTAGCTCCAGAAGTTTTCATGTTAGCCACCTTTAAAGTTGACTTTGTCCCCACCTGTTTCTCTCTCTCTTTTAAAATACATTTTGAATGCATATATGTTGCAGTTCATGAAGATTCTAGTAAAAGTTATCTGAAACATGCAATTGCAATTGTATAAATATTCCTTTTCTTCTTCTGCATTCCTTTGCTTGTTGGTTTTCTATAAATGGGCTGGAGATACATGATTAAGAGTTTCTGTCAAATCCTGTGTGCACCACTTCAAAAATGGTGTTGTCTGTTCTGCAAGTTGAACTTGAATATGGATTGGTGTTAACCTACAGAAAACTAATGCAATGGAAAAGAAAAGATCTGCTCATCTCTACATTGCAAACACTTAACCACATTGTTTCTCAGTACAGGCCACCTTGGTCCAAGACAAATTCACCAATTTCTGAATACTCTGAACCATCGAGCCTGAGGATCATGCACTGGATTTAAAATCTGGTTTAGACTTCTAGTCTTCTAATACTTTAGAAATGTATTGGGGTAAAACATCCATTTATACTCAGGAATTACCTGTGCTGGTATTAAAAAATGTTACTTAAAATTTGAAGGTTGAAAGAAAGAAAATAAGGGCATTGGTTTATTTACTGTCTGGTAAAATTTCAATTAGTACGTTACAGGACATTGATCCATAAGCCTACCAGACTGCTGGGCTAATCTCAGCATTCATTCTACCTGATTATAATTATTAATTACAACATGAAAATATAATTAGAAAATGAGGAGGGAATTATAAAATGATAAAAAATATTCTTGGGCCGAGCTATAATATAAACAATAATCCCAGGCTACAAAGATGTCCACAGTAAAGCTTTAATGCTTCCCCTGGTTATTCTGGAAAGGGTAATAGCTAATAGCAGTAGCAATAAACCTTTCTTAGTTGAGTAGATAATAATATGGACCCAATCTCATCTGTGCATCCCTTTAACAAAAGAGAAAATAAAATTTCCAGGCTGCAACCCCAACTCCCAATGCCGATGGATGGCATGGTGCGGGTTGGGGGACAGGATTCTGCACAGTGACCTCTGCTGGTGGAGGCCTGTGCTCCCCCGAGTAGGCAGAAAGCCACCAGTGATAGGTCTCCCACTTGTGGTAGCCAGTACAAAGTCCTGATAGAGGATAGAGTGCTAGAAGCTTTAAGGTCCACAGCTGGCACAGCAAAAATCTGCCCCCCCCCACCTTGAGCTCTGGCCAACAGGAGCTGGTGGGGCTTTGGGTGCAGCAGTAGCTCCTCTTCTCCAAACTTTCCCAGTGTTAGTAGTTAGTAAAGATTGCATTTCTCCATCATTTTCCCCTCTGAAAATTCCATTCTGTGTTTTTTGCAAACAGCCATATAGAACAGGAGTTGTATTTCCTGAAGGAGATGTCTCCACAGGCTAGGAGATCACCCTTCAGAGGAGAAACCAGTGCAAATGAAGCAACATCCTAGCCTGGAGCTGAAATCTGGTCCAGTTAATTCCTTTGTTCAGTTAATTCCTTGTAGCTGTGAATTTAGCTTTAACCCTTCCTGATCTGCATAGCTGATCCCTGATATTTGCAATCCTCAGCCACCATTATAGACCACTGGGGACACAGGCAGATGCTGCCCTG